GTTTAAATATGATACTTTATTTAAAATTTATAAGAAAGTTGTATACCAATTGTGTAAAAAACTGTAACTCGTTAAAAAAAATTTTTTTTGAATCGATAGCCTCAATATCTTATGCAAGTTATACAAGTACACAAATTAGTGTAATACAACCAAATAGTTTTAGAAATAAAGGAGTGCCACAATTCTTAGTAAATGATGTAGTTAATTTTGTTGCATAATTATAAACAAGTATGTTTATTGAGAATGACTCGCATGACAGTGAAAAATCTTCTGAGAAAAATACAGAACCACCAGTTTATGACCTACCAAGGAACAGATTACGATATGTTATAACTGAAAAAGACTCAACCATTGACATAGATACTGACATGGTAGACACCAACATCAAAGTTGTAGTCATACACATTTATTCCAATGGAGATGTAGATGTTGACGTATTTTATGATATAACTAACATTTAAAAAAATGAACATCATGAAGAAATGACTTATAATTTTACGTACCAAAGAGTACAGAATCTAACAGAAATACTTTATTGAAGTCCACGTAAATAGTTAAGCAAGACTATAGAAAATATAAGACTAGAACAAGCAAAACAAAACAAGCAAGCAAAACAAAAGTACCTGACTTAAAACAGATAACAGAAGAACGCATTCAGAAAACTTGTTTGAAGATAACACAACCTTAAAGAACCAAAATAGAACAAAATTAATCAATTAAAGTACTGCACTAAAATTAAGTGCTGCTATTAGACGTTTAACCTTTTTTACTCATAAATTGATACAAAAACCACATAAGAAAGTATTCCTAAATCTGAGGGATAGTAGCAATGATGATGACTCCCAACCTAAGCTGAAGCAAATAAATTACTATATCACTATCGGACATTGTCTCTTGTATAAAATAGACAGCACAGTACATTTAAAAAATAAGAAAAGCCAGCCAGTCACATCTACCCCAAGACTATTGAGGGCAATAGGTGCCCTTGACTTTGAATTTGGAAACATTATTAAAAACAATCAAAAAGACACCTTCAAAAATTACCACATGTTATGAGAAAATTGATTTAGAAAAAAAAAATGGTCATACAAGCACTGCATACACCTTATTCTTTGAAGAGTATGAGTTAAAAAATGAAACTGATTGGAATGTGAGAGAACGAATTTTTTGGTCTAGAATAAGGGATAATAACACATTTGATCTTGAATTCCTGCTCCTTAATCTTTCTTGGTATTTAAGAAATCTTGATTCATCAGTGGGATTTCAGTGACTACACAAATAACTCTAGTAGTGAATATGAAATAAGTAATATGGAAATAACGGAAGATTTAGAAAAAACCAATCATATACCCAGCATGTCGTTCCCAGGTGTATATGGGGACCTCAGCACCAATCTAAGAAGAGGGGTGTGATGTCAAACACTGGTGCACCATACTTCCCAATGCTACTTTATTTTTTACTGTCTACTTTGAGCATAATCAGCTCACTTTATATGTATGGAAGTTGATACGTATGTACATTATAAAAGTGTCACAACACACGTGCATAACGCAATTTAAGTGCAACCACGTATAAACAAACTCAACAGCCGAATATTGTGAAATTAAATATACCCTTCACTAAAATAGTGCACCATACTATCTAGCCTCCATTCGTTAGTACCCTGTACCTTGAAAATGACGCGATGGACATACTTGCTGTAAATACCAGTTAAATGTTAACCTTACTAAATCAGAATGCAGATCTTTACCCTTTAAACGAGCCATGGCTAAATGTATGTAATTTTTTGCTAACCTTAATTAAGCTAGATATTATGCCCCCTACCGCACTAATAAATAACATTGAAGAGAGAAGCCAAAACTGACTAAAATCCTCTAAAAGTCTCTCACTAAATAGATTGCTTTTTGTCGTTTAAGTAGAGACGTGCTTTGTTGTTCGATATTATTTACAGCATAACATTGTAAGAACCAACTGATAGGCCAGAAAGTGTGATTCACGAGCAGCATATATTTCCTACTTACTTTTTACTTTTGGAAAAGAGGACGTGGAAAAATGATAACAGCAAGATAAGCAAGTATACAAGTAACGAGAAACGTTAATTTCCCTTTATTGATACAATAAAAAATAGACGTGGGAGAAGTAGATTTCGTGTATTTCTCACAACGAGTCAAGATAAAAATCTCCAACACCCAACTAATCCTATCAGACCATAAGTCATGAGAAAGCTTCAAATTTCTCTCACTGAAGCCTCCATGGTGACAGCAGTCACGGTGATAAATGTGTGTAGAAAAAACAGCCCGCACTCGTAGCACAAGCAGTTTTTATCAGGCTCCTATGTTAAGTGCCTCTACTAAATATATAGAGCCTTGCCAATTCACTGCAGACGTGGCACCAAACTGTGTTATTTTTCTAGCTAAAATAAACGTAAGTTTGCAAAGACTGTAAAAACTATCTTAAAATTACTCAAAAAACGTGAAGCACAAATATTCAGTGTATGTGATCGTAGTACTTTTGCTCAACTGTACAAAAATGCCATTAATCTAGGCAACATCAGCGTCTGATGTAAGCTGGCGCGAACTAATACTACTAGCGTCGTTTCTAGATGAACGGAGACCGCAGCCGTTAAGATAATTAATAACTGGAGAAAATTTAAAGATGAACAGCTTAAAAGTCCTTAAACAATAGTTTTTATGTATTCAGACTATTACAAGTAATTATTTGCAACGTTTATGTACGCTTATCTACTGAGTACTACAGTAAGAGCTGTTGTTATTAAATTCTGCAGATAAAGTTACTTACCTTCGTATAAATATTCCTAACGGATAAGAAAAACATACTTCGGTTAAATGCTTTGTTCTTGATAACATAAGCACGTTCACTATTTGTAAAATTTTTGCAGAAACAAAATGTTTAGTGTAAAAAGTTAGGTTGTAAATAGAACAAGGATAAGATGATAGAAAGATTTAGTAATTTAACACAATTTATTATTTAATTAGTCATGCAAAGTTTTTTATATCTTACAAAGTGATTGATGAGAGAACCAAAATTTCATTTGCTTTGATATCCTATAGATCATGAATAGTCATTATAAAATATATAAAATAACTGCGCAAGATAGTATTTTTTATGGCACTTGAAGATAGCTTAGCCAGCAGAAACCTTTCTACCCACCTTTTCACTTTATCATAACCTCTTCTTTGTTTTTTATTACCATCTTTTGTAATGTTGTTAAGGAGATCTTTGATTAAATAACTTGTGACGAATACGTTTAGTAGGTATGAATCCATTGTTTATTAACTTTCAAGGTCTCTGCAACAAAAACAAAAGTCATTATTGTATTTAATGTTTTAGTGTAGCTTAAAACACTTTTTTATTGAGTTGAACAATTCATCCTCAGAGAAGCTAGGTTTTTCTTTTTTAATTTTATTTATTAAATTTTTTTTACATACGCTTCCAGTATATTTTTAATGTTTCACGTCTTAATACTACGTATCTACTTATACAACTTTTGAAAAATCGCACTTCAATAAGATTTCTGATTTTCTTTGTACAACTATATTTGAAGTAAAAAGCATATTAATATGAAGGGTCAGTCTGAGATAAATATTAAAAAAATTTTATTGGTACACTTAATTTCAAACTTTTTAGTAATAAAAACTACTTGTTTTTAAGGTGGTTGCCTCAGCATAAATCTGTTATCAAACATTTATTTTAAACAATGCTGTACTAGATTCACTATTTGTGCCACAATTAGCTTATGCACGAGCACTATAATAATATCCTTCCTAACTCGTTTTATGTCTGACCAAATTTCATTAGTAATTGTTATCTCAATATTATTACCTTTTTTTTGCATGCTATGCTTTGTTACTTTTTGCTAATAATTTTTATGTTTTCTTTATACGTTCCAGCGGTCCGCGATACCCGCGGTGTCGATTATGTAATAAGCAAGTGCTGTATCACTCTGGCATTGAATTTCCCCAAAGTGAATACCTACGCAGACATTAATCATGAATTTCCCCTGCAGCGTAGCTGCTGAACAGAGCCGGCCGACGCGACGCCAGAGTCGTTAGCCCCCGCATTAGCGCCAGCTCTCTCTCTCTCTCTTTAAATACCTTATTGCTGCTGCATGCGGCTGCTTCTTGCAAAATATATATTTGTGGATCTCGATGTCAGGCGCAGCCGCGTGAATAATATGTTTGTATTTTTGCCTACACCTCTACATACGCTCACACCTATACGGATATAAATATATACAAACGAGCGCTATGCGGTAAATATTTATACGTGGTACATTATAGCCCGAGCATCGCATAAATAATCCGTGGGGAGCGCAGGGGGGAAAAAAAACGACGCAATCTCGGAAGTGAGAAAAATTTTCAGCGCGACCAGGCAGCGCTTAATCAGGTGCTGGTAGACATCACGGGAAACGCGTGGATTTATTTCGTACTCAACCCTCTCTCTCTTTTTTTTTTTTTTTTTTTTTTTCTTCCCATCGCGAGCAAAGGAAGCCATCGGCTAGGTGATCATGAATCAAGCTTGCTTGACACCACTTGGCTACCCCTGTCGTGCTTACTTCTCATCTGTTACAGCAATGAAGTGCATTAGTCGAAAGCACTTGTTCATCTCTGCGAACGAAAGTTTTTTTTTGTTTCACAACTCAGGAAAACAAGCGCGATAAGTAGTCTTTCCGCCCGTGTATGTATGGTTAACGAGCATTGGATAGGAAAAATTCAAGAATTGTTCTTTACAAAGATTATGGACTCAGCGTCTATAGGCAATGTTGCACTCGCGAGACTGAAAAAAAAAAAAATTGATGAACAATTTGAATGCGAGATTTAATTTCAGCGCCTCAAACTAATAAAGAGTGCATTTTCGCTGATGAATCTTTCATACTTTTTTTTGTGTATTTTCGAGACAACCTTTTTTTTTTTTTTTTTTTTTTTTCTTCTAAGAATAAACATTGTATATCACGCACCTAGTGAGCGAGGTTAAGAATGTCGCAAATTTCAGGTAAATAACGCGAAATACTTATAGGACATTTCTTAACCTCCGAACGTGGTGCGTACACGATTTTACGCGTTCTGGTGTCCGGTAGGTACAAGTCAATATTGCCGTTCGCGCGGCCTTCAATTCCGAATGTTCACTTTCCGAGCACCAGCCACGTAAAATTATTTCACGACGTAAGGACATATGTTTTTGCTTTGCTAATTGTTAAAAAATTAATTTTAAAAAATACGTAAATTATTTTTAAAGTTTTAAAATTTTTTAACAATGGCTGTATAATAAGTAGCTATTATTGTTGTTATATTCAATTTACAGCCATTACAGTCTATACGTCCATAGTGATGACTCATTATGTAGTTGATGCACACGACAACAAATCAATTTTATGCGTATTTAAAATATATCTTATGTACTCCAATATGTAATCAATTAATACGTCAGATGCCATATCGACTATCGAATGAGTAGTAAAATAAAAATAACCAGGGGTAGGGACACCTGAACCACGGACACCAATAACCCTTAAGTATTATTTACACTCTTAGCAAACATTGTCGCAAAAATCGTTGGTATAGTACTTAGGGTATAGCTTGTCAGGACAAAAATTGGTCTAGGACATCTTGTCTGCTGTACTTGTAAACAAGTATATATAGCAACTGGCAACAATTATAAAACAAGACTATACGTACATACACACACATCACATTGCAAATGTACTTCTATTGTCTTGTCTATTATCACAGTTCAGATCTCGAGTAAATTTGATGTAATGTGTCCCTATAGGTATATAGGTATACAGAAGTAAGTATACTCATTCTAAAGTGGTAAACATAAACATAACATACGTCACACATACGTTATCTGACGATCAGTATGTATGTACACTCGCGCGCGCGCAAAACCACACAAACTACACAGTTACACACACACAGAAAGAGAGAGAGAGAGAGAGATGTCCCATGTCCCAGACCCCAGACCCGCGCTGTACTCATACGGAGTACGGCTGAAAATTAAAAAGTACGAGTTACTTATTACTTACGCAAATGATGGGATGAATCATCAAAATTGCGGTCCCGGAAGAGGTACACGTGATACAGACAGACAATATAAGTAGATACAATATTCCGCACTAACGCGTGGTCATACAAAAGATAAGAAACTTCAGTGACAGGCAACTGTGTCAAGTGCACGATGTGTTTGGAGACTCTCGTTGAGGTTAGTTTGTTTTATGTCTGCGGGAGCTCATTTGTTTTTAATTAATATCACCAAGTACCCTGCACTCGTTTTCTGGAAACAATATCTGAAAACCATTAGTAATGCAATAAAACTAAAATTTCGGCTCACTCAAAAAGAGCTGACATCTCGTGTCATGCAGCTTTCCGATTTTCTCGCTGTCTCGATTGTTATTGTACCTTAGTCTGTACAATCTATTTTTTTCCCCCTTTTTCCTATAACTTCATTTCGAAAATTCATTGTCTTGCAACAGTAGCCCTGTACAGACGAAAGTATAGCTGCAGCAGGTTATCAACATTGACATGAACGTACTTATTGCTACTGACATGTCTGACACACATTGACAATGTACATGCAGTTGGCTTATCTCTGTCAGACACGTGGGTGGCTCTGTTTCCTCTTCAAATTTGTCAGTCGATTTTTTTTCATTTTTTTTAGGTGCATGAAAAATTAAAGTCATTCGTTGAATAGAATACAATCTTCTGTGTAAATATTAAAATTTTTTTACATAATAAAAACTATGAAACTTTCCTTAAATCATACTCTTTGTGATACAATCTAAATTATATTATAGATTTAATAAATTTGTCCTTAAAGGTTTCAGGCTATTTAATGAAATGGGCTATTTTGGATTGGTAGTTTTGATCCTGGTGCTTGTAGGTAAAAAGTGCATATTTAACAAGATTTAATTAATAAATTAATAAATTTCAATTGAATGAAAAAAAAAAACAATTGCCTTGTCTTTTCCACAGTTACTGACAGCAGAGCAGAGTTTAGAGTATCACCACACGATTTAAGAGTAGTTATCAATGGCTCAAACTCATTTTTGCTGTATTCAACGTAAGTTGCAGTCGTGATAAGAGCATTGATAAATGACCCTACAAGTTGGACATTGTTTATAAAATTTTCAACATTTTTCATGTCCTTTTACGATGCGCAGTTCAATAAAATAAAAATTTGCTTACTTCAATTGCAGAGAAAAAAATAGAACACAAGACAGCAAAGTGGTTTTTCAACCAGAGCATGTTGATCTAGCCAGAACCGAACCAGATGGTTTCTTCATAAAAAACGATGAATACAATTGGACCATCAAAGTTATAGGACTCGAGCCCGGTCATGTTCTAATAAATGTAAATATTTCAGATGCTCATCCATCAGAGTAAGTGTTTTTTACGTCACGACACTTTTGTTGTAAAAGTTTCCTTGGTAACGTGGATATCTGTATGTTACAAATGAAGTTCACATCAGATCCACTTGATTTTTTTTCTATCCGTAAATCAATTCGATCTCAGGCACTCATTTTGAATTTGATTTATAACAAACATCGAATCAAAATTGACGGCGTGCGCGCTCTGCTTCGCGAAATCTCACGAACGGCACGTGCGACATTCATATCTAAATATTTTGAAATAATTGTGCACCAACACGATAATCCCTATCTTGCTTCTCGACGAAAGACCCCTGTAGTACAAAGAAGCTCACGCGACTATGACTCATGGCTCAAATGAACGGATCTACACGCGATTGGCCGCTCTTGGGGCACTGACACTTATTTTTTTCTTCAAAGAATTAACGCTAAATTATTACAAAGACGCGCGCAAATGATTCGTACAATCGGCTGACACAGAAAATTACGGCTGCCAAATAAAATTTGAAAATATACCTTCTAACGAGCTGCTTCGGGGTGGTGGAGATGGGAGCTGCCCTATACTCCCACCGCATGGCCGGTAGATTACCTATTTGTTGTAATAACGCTATTCCGCTATTGCCAATCAAAGCTACCGATAAGCCTGGTGGAGATAGGCACGCCGACCTCTGACCGGCTCATTTTACTCGCGCGGATGCTTCAAAATATAGTGACAAAGCCGACAGTCGTGCCTCCTCAGTGCGCGTCGAGACGATCTCATTTTCACAATACTTTCCCAACATAATTTACATTTATTTATTTATTATTTTTTTTTTTTTCGAGCTTACGGTACTATTTGCTAAGTAACAAATCAGCCCAACGCTATGCCTGTTTACAAAATTATTATTATACCTCGTGATCAGCTAGACTCTCTAAAAGATTTGAAGTAAGTCTTCATTTTGAATATGAAAAAAAGCTGTCGTCCCATTGTCTTGAGAGATAATCTTTGAAATAATAAAAATCAATATAATTATTTTTCAAAGTGTAAGTGACAAACACCACAATATTTACAATTAAGGAGATGACATTTGTGCATTTCAGCATCTCAGAAGCATTTGTGCGGGTTACAGTGGAGAGGTCGGAAGCTTTGTACCATATCAGCTCAATCGTCGGTTGGGTCTACTTCTTTGCATGGAGCATAAGTTTTTACCCTCAAATATGGAGCAATTACAAAAGGAAAAGCGTCGTAGGGCTGAATTTCGACTATCTATCTCTGAATGTGGTTGGCTTTATTATGTACTCGTTGTTTAATTGCGGATTGTATTGGATACCAGAGATAGAGGTGCGTAAAATGCTCTTGAGTAGCCATTCGAATCACATAAAATTTTCAAAGCATCTACGTGCTTTTCATAAATCATTTCTCACATCTCAATGCATTGACATTAGAATACGATATGAAAACAAATGATTCTGTGGAATGGCATTATTTATGAATATATATATATATATATATATTTTTACTTTTCAGCAACAATACTTTAGCTCACATGAAAAAGGTCTGAATCCAGTTCAGCCAAATGATATTTTTTTCTCGTTGCACGCGGTCGTTGCAACCCTAGTAACAGTATTCCAGTGCTTTATTTACGAGGTGTGATTGAGATTTGTTATTTCTGTGCGTGCCTGCAAAATATTTTGCTTCATCGTTAATGAAAAATAATGTGATTATAGACAGGTAACCAGAAATTGTCAGTGACAGCTCTGATAATTCATGGCATTTTTGTCAGTTTTGTCACAACGTCATTGATATTCGCTCTGCTGCGTGCCCTTCAGTGGCTGGAGTTCCTTTATTACTGCAGCTACGTCAAACTCGTGATAACGCTAATTAAATATATACCTCAAGCATTTTACAATTATAAAAGGAAATCAACCATTGGCTGGAGCATAGGAAATATATTTTTAGATTTCACCGGTGGTGTATTGTCCATGCTTCAGATGATTTTGAATGCCCACAACTATGGTAATATTTCATTTGGATGGATACTGAATGGGCCGTGTATTATAAAACATAACTATATTTATTTATACCATTTTTAGACGACTGGAAAAGCATTTATGGAGATCCAACCAAATTTGGCCTGGGATTTTTTTCGGTTGCATTTGATGTATTTTTTATTGTCCAACACTATGTGCTATACAGGTATGTTAAAATAACTGGAATCAAAATGGTTTAAGGGTTCAAAAATCGTTGTAGGATATTGCTTTTGCAGCATATGATAATATGATAATAATAACTTTGTAAATGATTTGAATGTTTGTTGGTGCATAGGTATTACTTAAAGTTGCATGCTTAAATTTTTGTACTTAATGGATAATTGAAGGTAACTACTGCCAATGCATTAACGTTCAAGCAATTTTTTTCACCGACTAAGTAAATATGTTTAATACCTGTATCCTGTAATAATACAAGATTATTTTTTTTTTTTTTTTTTTAGTCTTTGATGTCTGTTATCACTGAACCATATTATTTTCTATTTAAACAAATTGTTTATTTATATTTATGTGTCTAATTTTTTTGAATTAAAAGTACCATACATTTTTTGTTAGTATATAATTCGCTTTGTGCATGTAAACGGTATTGATCTAGTTTAATTGGGCGCTTTGATTTTTTTCTCTCTCTCTCTCTCGACACTGTTTGTATGAACGAGTTCTTAAAATTAATTGAATTCTTAGGCATGCAAACAAATATGCTTAAAAATGCTTTCATAGATAATTTCGATGGCCTAATTAAAAGTATAACGCGCATGTTATGCATGTCACTGTTGTAATTGTGCTATAACAAGAATATTCTGAGCCGCCGTTCTTCACCCTAAAATGCTTACAATATGCCATATAATTGCAGTTGTAAGGTAGAGTTCGAATTTTCAATTTACAGAAATGTGAACGAAAAGCTGGTAGATTTCAATGGCCAAATCTAGCGAACACCTCTAGCTAAATATTATAATCATCTTTAGTGGTGATGCAGTGCTTTGACGTAGCATCAGCTTTGTTTGTGTTGAAGACAATTTTTCAGTTTTTAATAGTTGAAATGAAAATAAAGCAAAGTTGTTACCATAGTAGCTGATATACATATCATCACCAGACACTGTAAATAAATGATTAGTTTGTTAAGTTAAATTATTCAGTCTTGATTAGACTTTTACAATATTTTATAGTAACGGTTGATACTGCCCTAGATCCAATAATACAAAATACATTTTTTTAAACGCATAAAAAAGTGAATTTTTATAATTAGGCTGTGTAATATACAATATTACTTTTTATAATTAAAATTTTTAACAATTTATTAGAATGGATAATTTATTATTATTTATTATTTATAAAGTAAGTTTTAATAAAGTGATCTCTTGCAATCCTTTCCTAATTAAAACATCCTTTTATTTTTTTAAATATAAAATGAAATCGTTTGAAAATTTTTTCCAATTTTCGTCTATTCTTAGCTAGTAATAGTTAGCCTATCACCAAGTGACACATAATTTTCATCTCAACAATACAAAAGCAATCGTTTTATTTCGCACGTTGCATGTAATGGAAAAATTAGTTTAGACAATCTGTAATTCCAATTGTAGTAAATAAAAAAAAGCCCTACGTCTTTTGACATATGGACAACTTCCTTAGCTTGCATGGTAAAGAAGGAGTCCTTATATCAAATAATAATTGAAAATAAAAATGGATAAAAGTGTTTTCTATTTAAAACAATGAAAGTTCAGTAGTGCTGAAGCTAAGTAGCCACTATTTTAGTGTTTTTATAATTGCGTTTGATTACTGAGTTATTTTTTAATACTAATGATTTTGATCTATGAATAAAATAATTATGCAAGCAACGGAAGCCAATATTAATGTCATTTTCACAGAGACCGAAATGACTACTCCATCATTCCAGGAAATTGTCAAGAAAATCGTGAAGATGAAGCATCCAGCTGTTATGTATGATAGAATGCCATCTTGTTACAGTGTAATTTTCATCATTATCATAAGATTATTTACGCTCTAAGAAAACTATGTATAACTTTTATAAAATATATATTTTTTTACAAAAAATTTCATACTATACGTATACATGTTTGCCGCAAGAAACAAAAATTTTTTCAATATTCGCGCCGTTAAGATATCGATCGATATGAGCTCGATAGATGCACGCTCGAGCTCGAGAGAGTGTTTTGAAATTTGCACATATAGTCATATACGTATAGTGTATGTATATATCTCAGATTTGTGTGTTGAGCACATCACGAAAAGTGACACTGTCGTCGTTTTGTTATTTTCTCCATTTCGTTTTATTTGAATCTATAAAGTGAGTTTCAATTCAGGATTTGCCATTCAGATAGCAAAGTACTTGGCAATACACAATTCGTGATTTTAACGAGCACTACTGCTTAGGTCGGTTGTGATAGCTACTATTACATAACCTTGAATTTTTGTCGTTGCAACCCTAGTAACAGTATTCCAGTGCTTTATTTACGAGGTGTGATTGAGATTTGTTATTTCTGTGCGTGCCTGCAAAATATTTTGCTTCATCGTTAATGAAAAATAATGTGATTATAGACAGGTAACCAGAAATTGTCAGTGACAGCTCTGATNATAACCTTGAATTTTTTTTTTTTTTTAATTTAATTTTACTGTATTTGTAGTAAATCAGATTCTGATTTTAGAAATAGTTGAAAATTAACAGCCCTCAAGATTAATTAAATCATAATTTGAGAAATAACTTCAAGTATCAGCTTCAGGAAACGTTTTTATTTCTTACAGAATGTCTTCCAAGGTTTCATTACTTTTAAAACCTGTTAAGGTATTTGTGCAATCTTCAAGAAACATCAATTGCTGGATAGCTGCAATCACACGACCTCATAGAAAAATTTACCTCAACACATACCCAACAATAATGCAACTTCCAGATGGTAGCACGATAAATATACCATACCATTGTCCTATTGGAGTCATTAAGCTGCCACTGGACCTGTCAACTTTGACAGAAGAACAGAAAAAAGCGAGATTGATGAAAAGAATACCTAAAACCACAGTTAAAATTCAAGAGGACATTGAAGATGACTTCGATAGTAGTCGTTATGTCAAATATACCAAAAAAAAATAAATTCCCTATATGTGTTACCATTGTCTCATGAATGCAATAGAGAAACACTTATAAAAAACATCTCGCCAGTAAGTGAACAAACAATTAATTTTTGTAAATACGCTTCACACAATTATAGTTGAAATCATGAGGTTTCTACTCGTGGGTTATATTCTAAGTATAGTTATCAGGTATTTCAACAGCTGTGAATTGTGATGTAGTCAATAATTAAAACCTCTTGATGAAGATTCTTTATGTTTGAGAAATTTACCACTCCAATTTTTACATAAATGTGAATTAGTGATTAAAAAAAGTTAAGATGAACTTGAAAAATTGAATTAATCGTAAAACTGTTATAAAATTCAATACTAGGCGACAACGAGTATGCTAAATCTAAAACGACCTTGACATTGTTCAACCGCAGCTTCGAGAGAAGAAAGTCTCTTTTTTTCTCACTCCGCGCGCTTGGACCGAAAATTATTGGACCACTTTCGCGGGCTCTCGTCCTTTTGACTTGAGCGCCCCGGAAACAGGATCCGCGCTGTCACCGTGCACAATCTGTTTTTCATGAAATGCTGCACAATGCGGGTGGAGAAAGTTTATATTCGTAATGTAACCTTCAATCGCAAGTACTTTTGAACTCGCATAGCTTTATGGCACCTATTCGAGTGTGTGGAAAATAAGGCAATAACTAGGCAAATTAGTCTTTAAAGAAAAAGAATTGACCCCTTAACGATGAGAAATTTAAGTTATACATCAATAAGTTGTAAGCAAAAATACAGTTTTTTGCGTTACACATTTTATAGGACAGAATTTAAAATAAATACTCTATATTGTAAAGACAAAGAAAATTTTTTTAAAATGGTCGCTTGTTATTTTTTCGTTATTTCAATGTTATTTTCACGCATAATATAGCATAATAGCACAAACCTACGAGTAAAAAAAAAAAAACAAAAAAAAAAAAAAAAAAAAAACTGAACATGCTGATTGTCGGCAACTAAAATCTTCTCACTTTCCAAGTGTTAAAAGAAAATATTTTAATTATTATGACTTTGGCAGTAAAATAAAATGTCTACAAATGAATAATTGACGAATAAAGCCATCGTCGCTGATGTGAAAGTTAAACAAACAAAAAACATCTTCCTCGGTTGTAACGTTGGTGCAAGTCATTTTATAATTTAAAGCTTACCCCGTGCCACGTTTTCTGAGGTACAGAGCAGTGTAGGATTTCGTATTACAGTATACGGGCGACAATTTTTAGATTTTTATAGACGCAACAGTAAGTGTGCCATAAAATTTCGAATAAACTTGTAAAAGCTAGCTTCGGTATGTTGATGAAAAAAAAAAAAAAGGAGGAAATATCATGCTGAACAGGTACCTACTGGACTGAAATCACTGTACTTAAATGAAGGAAATTTCAAAGAATGACATAATTATCGCCCATGGGTAAAGAATTTTCTCAATTTTTCCTGATATTATGCAAACAAAAGCATGTCCACCGCAGACAAACTTCCTTACGGCAATTTTGGAAAGTAATATGTTTTTAATTTTTTCAAAGATTTCCCTTTTTCCAGATGATTCCTCGAGTGATTTTTACAATGTCGCTGAAAAAAAAAAAAAAAAAAAAAAACGACGAAACAAAGTGGCAAACACACTTTCACCGATTTTTGTATCGAGGAGCGAGAGAACAACGACGCGCGTCGCGCTACTGGTAATTGCGCGTCGCCGAGCGAAAATACACCGGATAAACTTTCACACGCACTCTATTCCTCCTTCTCCTTATCGTCGTCTTGTCGAAAGTCAGTCGCCAAGAAAGAGCGTATACCTATGTATGAATGACAGCAGTGCAGGCAGCGAAAGTCTGAAGGGTCCGATGCGTCGTCTTCGTAATAATGTGTAATAGCATAAGTAAGTAAGTATTTGCAATTACTCTCGCGCTCATTTTATTGTCACACGGAAACGGAAGCTGCTGCACGTGCCATGGATTTCGCTCGCTCGAGCTCTCCTTTTTACCACTCTTGTATCATATGCCATTAATTTTTATTTGACGACTTGAATACGCGCTTCGAGGTGCAAGTACAATAATACAATTAAATTTTACGTATAAGGAAGCGTTGGTGTCATATCTTATCATACATTTATATTATATTCATGTAGATGTAAGCCTTTCTAAAACTTGTTATTGCACCTACCGCGGCGTCGAGCGGAAATTACTATTGTCACGAGGACACGGATGTTGTGTACTGTACATACCCTATATTGTTATGGTGCCTCAATTACAAGCGTAGGTATATTGTAATATATATATATATATGCTGGCGTGAAATTACCGCAGGCAAGGGGCACGAGATACAAAGTTGGTCGCAATTTTCACGAAACACGTTATACCATAATTGATCACCTACGGTGCCAGGGATAAAGGTAAATCAGTAGTTGGTTTTTTTTTTTTTTTTTTTTCACACGTTTGGAAAAATCCCAGTTACCCGATTGGCCCAGTAGGTAAGTATCGCCGACTCGGGGTTTCGTAATATACGTAAACAATATATATATATGTGCATACATGTCATGTACGCGGACATACTCGCAATTAAAACACTAGGGTATTTAGTAGGTAGTTGACAATTGGCCCGTTACTTTCCATTTCCCATCACCGGCCTCTCATTGGCTGCAGACCGAAAATGCTTAGTGAAAAAATCACACCTCTATATTTACATGTACGATGATCTGCGCCAACAACCGAATTGGGAATACACTGTTATACACCTATACACCAATACACCTCTTTGTGTACAAATATAAATATACGTGTGCCTATAATATATTATACACTAGCCACTAAAACGATCAGACTGACGATAAAAACGCGCGAAAGTTGCATTTGTTTTTGTTGTGCAACCATTTGCGATGCGACATTTCTTTTTACGTGCAAAGTGTATACGGTATAAAGGTACGGCCATCGGAAGATAAAACTTAAAACTTAAAACCTTGCGAAATCTCATCGGCAATAAGCACACCACTACCTACTTGTTCTTTTGCAATACGAGCCCCCCTCTTTCGTTTTTGCTCGTTTTTCCTTGCATCGACGGACTTCCTGCACGTAAGTATATAATATTATATTATTAAGAAATACCTTCAAGATTTACTATTCACCTCTCGGGTAAAAGGGCGCTCGGGCATAATATATCAGACAACAGCCACTTTATTTGCTGTATAGGTATACCTACATAAAATTATATCGTACCTGCATGTTGACATTCAATATCGGTGAAATCTTGATTGCGACAGCTCTCTGTCGGCCCTTGCGTGCTCTGGAAAAATCCGTGGCCAGAGAGGGAGGCGTCGATTTCGTATTTTTCGCGCTGTTCTCATTTGCCTCGGTATAGGTACCTATATACATTCCCATGCACAGGTGTGCTATATCGTCAACAACTACTCGTGTCCACACCCACTCTCAATGACATCAAGTCGGGAGCTTTCGATTATTATTAATTATAACGTGTAGAGCTGGCAAGTATGCACAAACCTATCTATACGTGGGAATGAAATAGTGTAACTATTAAGTACGCACTTAGTGTGAGTGAGGTTAAGAATGTCGCAGATTTCACGTGAATAAACGCCCGAGGCGTGGTAATCGTCAAATCTAATGCATTTCTTAACCTCCGAACGTGCTGTGTAGGTATAGGTAGGTTACTTATTCTTTTTTTTGCACCAATCCTGCACCGAGATTCTACTTTCGGCGCAGTAGTATATGGTGAAAAAGTAATTTGATTGTTAGCAATAAATACTCGGGTGGATTAGATAATTATACATAGCGAATTAACAATAGACCCGAATCTTTTTTTTTTTTTTTTCTTTCCTCGTTCGTATAGCTGCTACTAGCTTGTCAAAAGTAACTGACGATCGTTTTTTTTCAACCGAGTAGCCCACAAAATTTGAAATGCCACGTGACTTTGCCGTGTGATCTACCGACGATGGTAACCGTTAGAGTGAGAGGCGCTAAGCCACGGAGAAAAAAAAAATTTAGAGAAAGAAAGAAACGGCTCTTGGGGAGATTATCATCATCCATGCATGACGCGGGACGCGGGTGTCGACTGACCGCCGGCGTCGTCATCGTCCAGGCGAAGCTCACGAAGATGCCCAAATGGTGGTACATATTATAATATATACTCACTCATGTTTTTTTTAATTATGTTTATTTACGAGCAGAACTTACTTTTTCTCGCAAAATTACCAACGCCTCATTTTTTAATTGAACGAAGCTACATTTTAACAGATTTTCATGGGGTAAAATTTACAAAAGATATAACGTTCTTACACATTCAAGTCACGACTGGAGCTCAAAACTTTTATCATAACAATTTTTTTTTATTCTGTTGTATTTTTTGTTGTGTCGTACGTGCAAAAAAAATTTGTATTTTTTATTGTAAAATCCACAAATTTATGGGACATACTCGGTGTCTTCGTTTAATAAAATGTCAAAGAAGAGACAATAATAAAGCTTTTGTAAGCTGGTTGAGTGATATATTTTGGCTCGCTCGGATCTGTCAACGTCACAGCTGTGATTGAAAAAGCAAAATACACACACACACACACACACGACGTGTACGTATTGTTGAAATTTCTGCTCTGGTAAAGGCATATTAATATGCGGAGTGGTCGTTATTAAAAAACGAGCTATATTAATTCGACACCAGTCAACAAATATGAAAGCATCTAAATTAATTTAGATACCGTTGTCAAATTACGGCATCGAGTCTGCTCACGATTGGCCGTTGATAGGGTCTATAAGCAAAGACAGCACGAGAGATAGAAAGAGATTAAGCAAGGGGAAACAAGAGGAGAAGGAGCAGCAGGTAAGCATCGAGGTCGAGTAACAGAAAATGAGCAAGGAATAACAGAGAGAGAGAGAGGGTCGCCTGTTATATATATATAAAGCATTCATTGTTGCTACCAAACTCCAATTAACAGAACCATGACGCATGCAGATGCAAGCCTTTTTCTCATCATCATATTATTCCTTGCCTGCTGATTCTGCTTGGTAGGTCTATAAGTACCACACAATATTCCTGTTACCTTATGGTAAGTATACATCAAGTACTCCTCAAAGATGGGAAAGTATACACGTCCTATGATGTATATAGGTACAGTGCAATCTGTGCCATGTTTTGATGGACTCGCTCGGCCTCTTTATTATCCATCAATTTTATACAAACTTAAATTGACGATACAACTTATACAGTTAAAAGAGTACAAGTAAATTACACTTACTTAAGTACTTGCAGTATAAATCATATTTTAGGTACGAACGGCAGGATGCAAGAGGTCAAGCTCTATAGGAAGGTGTGTACCTCTATCTATACCTACCTATATATTTTTTTTTTTTTTTATATTGTAGTGCTCTACATCCGGCTCCTTTAGTAAGGGCACTACTATGGGCACTTAGCACTTGGGAAAGGGACAAGGAAAGGGATGGGAGGCGCCTCCCATTACTGGGAGGGGGGGTAGGGGGAATTAGGCAATTTTTGCTGCTAGAAGGTCGCCTAAAACCCTCCTCGAGGAGCATTGCGTGGTGAAAAAGCACATGTGAACAATCACAGAGGTACTTGCCCGTAAAAGTCGCACTATGGCCGGGAATTGAACTACGGTCTCCCGCGTGCCAATCCACGACCTAGCCGACCGAGCCACCGCGCGCTCGACCTACCTATATATAAGAGGTTAATTAGCAAAGCGAAAAGCGTTTTTCACTCATTCTACTTGGTGTAATAAGATAAGTAGGTACATAAGTATAGCCCTGAATTTGGATAAGTATTGCGTGCAGTATATAAAAAACATGTATAAGTATAACGCTGCAGGTTGGCACAATCAGACGCATCGACGAATAACCTTTTTCTTGTACATATTGCCTCTCATATATAATATATCTATATACTTATTCGCTCGTGCTTGCGTATATTGTAGGTAATTAGGTATTGTGATCGCGCTGTGCCAAAAGACTTCTAATTAATAACTGCAATGGGCTGCAAATGCCGTTATCACCAATTGTATGAGCGTGTAGGTACCTACTTTTGTCTGTAAATCTAAATCAGTGATGATGATATTATTTTTTTTACTTTTTCCAATGTATAATAAGATTTCGGTACTTTTCGTCTTGCGAGGAGAAAAGGGAGAAATTTGATGAATTTTCATCCAACGAGATGATAATTATTAGGTATAATAAGGAGACATCGTGGATTAGCACTGCATCAAGTGCATGTACTTATACATCCGAGGGTTATCATGCGTACACCTATTTTTATGTAGATGATATTTATAAACTATGAGAACAGGAGACATCGAAACCCTGCTTGACTATAACCACATGTACTTGTTCCATCGAAGTAGAGTACTTACTACCTATACGTAGCAATCACTTATACCTACACCGTATACTATAAACACATATAATATAAATATATGATCTTCTTTGCTCAATAGCATTAAAATGCACATGCACACACACGAATATAATATAAATATGACGCCGATGATACGACGAAGTATGGGTACAACAACATGGGTGTTTAGTAATAAATTGTAGATGATATCCGGAATCAAGGGTAGGGAGACAATGAAATCTTATCTCACTATCGGTGCTCCTTACCGATCATGTAATCCATGTATGCCTGCAGAATACTTTGATTAGAACGAGATTAGAATACAAATATCCGTATCCGCAATTCCGCATGCAGTCAGCCAGGTGACATCGAAGAAAGGCGCGAACGACAAGACATCTCTCTCAGGTGGTATACTCATAGGTTATACTTGCAATAAGTAAGTATAAGGTAGGTAGGTACATCATGCAGAGTGCCAGGCATCGTAGGTTTTTCGGCGTATAGGTAGCGCTTGCTTTTTACACGTGCCGCGCGATGCGCTACTCTTTTTTTTTTTTTTTTTTTTTTTTTTTTTTTTTTTTTTTTTTTTTTTTTTTTTTTTTT